TACCTGGCATCAGAAGCAATCTGATGAGTGTGGGAAAATTAATTGAGAAAGGTTTTTCAGATACCATGAAGGACAATCTTTTGAAGCTGTATGACTGCAATCAGAAGTTGATTATGTAGTTAGAATAGGGAAGGAATAGAACATTCAAGGTGAATGTCAGAACTGCAGACTCAGAATGTCTTAGTGCAACAAGTGCTGAGAAGGAGAGTGAGCTGTGGCACAAAAGATTCCGTCATTTGAATTTCAGAAGCTTAAAACATCTGAATTCAAAGAAGTTGGTACATGGAATTCCTGCAATTAAGAAGCCTGAAAAGTCATGCAAAGTTTGCATGGAAGGAAAACAACCACGATTGCCATTTGCGTCAGAAGCTGCTCCAAGAGCAAAACATGCCTTGGGAGTTGTACATTCTGATGTGTGTGGTCTATTTCCAGTAGCATCGATTGGAGGGAATAAATACTTTGTGTTGTTTGTTGATGAATTCACAAGAATGACATGGGTATCCCTTATCAAGTTTAAACATGAAGTGTTTGATGAATTCAAGAAGTTCAGAATGAAGGCTGAGAATCAGAGTGGTCAGAAGTTGAAGATTCTTAGAACTGACGGTGGAGGTGAGTATAACTCCAAAGAGTTCCAGAAGTTCTGTGAGGAGAATGGAATTGAGCATGAGGTTACTGCTCCTTATACTCCTCAACACAATGGTCTTGCTGAAAGAAGAAACCACACTTTGCTTGATATGGTGAGAAGCATGCTAAAAGAGAAGAAGCTTCCTCAGAAGCTTTGGGGAGAAGCTGTTGCCACTGCAACGTATGTACTTAACCGATGTCCTACGAAGAAGTTGAAGGAAATAGTTCCAATACAGAAGTGGACTGGAGATAAGCAAAGTGTTAGTCATCTGAAGGTGTTTGGTTTTGTTTGCTATAAACATGTTCCAGAAGCCAGAAGACAGAAGCTGGATGATAGAAGCAAAGTGATAATTCTGATAGGGTACCACAACACAGGTGCATATAAGCTCTATTGTCCAGAAACCAATAAAATTGAATTCAACAGAGATGTGATTGTGAAGGAATCAGAAGTTTGGAATTGGGATAAGTCTCAATCTGATTCTGATGTTAGAACTTCTGAAGAAAGGTCAGAGTTAAGAATTTCTGAAGTTGGAGTAAACTCTGACGTTGAATCTGACTCTGATACTGATTCAGACTCTGGAGAAGACTCAGAAGATGAAGGTGACTCTGATGGAAATCCAGATTCTGGTGGCAATTCAGACTCTGGAAATATGCCAGACTCTGAAGATGGTCAAAGCTCTGGAGGAAGTCAATCATCTGAAGCTAGAAACTCTGAAGCTCAAGACTCTGAACAAGTTCAGAGACCACAAAGAATAAGAAACGTCCCCAGAAGATATGCAGAATTTGACATGCTGCAAGACACTGAAGTAGACTCTGAAGGAGAAGTTATTCAGTGTGCCATGATAGTAGACTCTGAACCCATAAGTACAAAAGAGGCTCTTAAGCAGAAGCTCTGGCTGAAGGCCATGAAAGAAGAACTTGATGCTATAGAGAGAAACAAGACTTGGAAGCTGACAGAACTTCCAAAAGACAAGAAAGCCATCAGCGTCAGATGGGTTTTCAAGCAGAAGTTAAAGCCAGATGGCTCAATTGGCAAACATAAAGCAAGGTTGGTAGCCAGAGGATTTCTACAGAAACCTGGGCTGGATTATTCTGAAGTGTTTACACCTGTAGCAAGACATGAAACAATCAAAATGGTGATTGCAATAGATGCTAACAGAAATTGGCCTCTGATGCATTTAGATGTAAAATCTGCATTTCTGAACGGTCCATTAGAAGAAGAAGTTTACGTGTCACAACATCCTGGATTTGTGAAAAAGAATTAGGAAGGAATGGTGTACAGATTATACAAAGCTTTATATGGACTGAAACAAGTGCCCAGAGCTTGGAATCAGAAGATTGATTCATTTTTCAAGAAGCAAGGCTTTCAGAAATCTGAGATGGAGTACGTTGTTTATGTTCAGCATACTTCTGAAGGCAATATGACTCTGGTGTGTTTATATGTTGATGACATACTACTGACTGGAAGTTCTGAACAGAAGATAGCCAAGTTCAAGAAAGTTCTGATGAATGAATTCGAAATGACTGATCTAGGCAAAATGACATACTTTCTAGGGATGGAGTTCAGATATTCTGAGAAAGGTATCATTTTGCATCAGCTCAAGTATGAATTAGAACTTCTGAAGAGATTTGAACTGAAGAATTGTAAGATTGCTGTCACACCTTCTGATACAAATTAGAAACTGGATTCTGACTCTGATGGAAAGGATGTGGATGCTACAACCTTCAAACAGTTGGTTGGTTCTCTGAGGTATCTGTGCAATACCAGACTTGATATTTGCTATTCAGTTGGGATGGTTAGTAGGTTCATGAGTAAACCTAAGTGGTCCCATTACCAAGCTGCTGTCAGGATTCTGAGGTATATCAAGGGAACTCTGAAGTATGGAGTGTTATTTCCTTCTGGAAGAAAGAATGAGTCAGAACTTCTGAGTTATTCAAATTCTGATTGGTGTGGAGACAAAGTTGACAGAAGAAGTACCTCTGGGTACTTGTTCAAATTTCTGGGAGGTCCCATTTCTTGGTGTTCCAAGAAGCAACCTGTTGTGGCGTTATCAACCTATGAACCTGAATACATTGCAGGTGCTGTTACTGCATGCCAAGCTGCGTGGATTCTGAATCTGTTGCAGGATCTAAAGATTAAAATAAACAAACCTCTGAAGCTGATGATTGATAACAAGTATGCAATCAATCTTGCCAGAAACCCAGTGTTGCATGGGAGAAGCAAGCATATTGAGACCAAGTATCATTTTATGAGACATCAAGTTCAGAGTGGAGTGTTAGAAGTTGTACACTGCAGCACTCAGAAACAGTTGGCAGATGCTCTGACGAAAGCTATCAAGACTGATCAATTTCTCAGACTAAGGGATGGAATTGGTGTTACAAGTTTTAATAGAATATGAATTAAAGGATGGTATTAGAAGTAATTCATATTTAGTTGTACTATTACTTAGCCCCTAAGTTTGTTAGAGGGTATTTTAGTATTTTATCTTATTCTAGTAACCCTATTTTTAGCTTATAAATAGGGTTGCAATCATTGTAATGTTAAGTGAGTTGTGTAGCTGTCATTCTCTTTAATAGAATATTTCCTATGTTCATCATTTATTCACCTTTGCACCAACACAATGAAGTCGACTTCGATGAGGGTTTATCATATGACCGCTTATACTAAATGCATATTCAGAAGCTACAATAGAAACATGAATTGCCAATATATCCCTTGCAATTGCTTTAAGTGTTGAATACTTAATGCCATTCAACTTCCACCACAATAAAATATCAAAATCTGGACTTCTTGGTAAAACTTCCTCATCCAAATAAACATCTAACTCCATTTTAATAGATAAAGTACTAGCTCTTTTTTTCCGTATGACATACAAATCATAGTCTTTCAAACCATCGTTACTAACAGTATCAACATTAGCATCCAACGTTTGAGATTCACTTCTAGATTCATTGGTCATTTTTGATTGATAATCATAAAGCAACTCGTAGCACACCTGTCTGATTGATTTAACTTGGAAATCAACATCATTCCCATAGAAGACTCCATAGTAATATTCAAGCAAATAAGTTTTGTACCTAGGATCCAAAACAGCGGCAACACCCATTATTTCATGAACCACACTCCAATATTTTTCAAACTTTACCAACATGTTTTCTTCCATTCTTTTTACCAATTCATCAAAGGATTCAATCTAATCAAGTAATGCAACTTTAATATGACAAATCTTAGGAAATTATTCATTGGCAGTTGGATACTTTGTTCCAGAAAATACTTCAGTGATAGAATTAAACAATTTCAATTTTCCATAAATCTCTTTTGCAAATTTCCATTGTAAACTTGTTGGCAAACAAGTGTATTGAGTTACATGGATTGCTAATCTATTAAATACATCTTCATACAAAATAGCAACATCAAGCATCTTGTAGGTAGAATTCCATCTAGTCGGACAATCTAAAACTAAATTCTCGGTGCAAGGTATGTTTAACTGTTTGGATGTCTCCTCAAACCTTTCCTTCCTTTGAGGTGTTACAGTCCAAAATGCAACACTGTCTCGAATCTTCTATATCCCATCTTTCACAACTCCTAACCCTTCTTTTACTATTAAATTTAGTATATGTGCACAACAACACATATGAAGTAAGGCCCCATCCCTTAACATTGTTTCCGGTTTCAACTTAGCCTTAACTTTTTCAATCATTGCATCATTTGTGCTACAATTTTCCAAAGTGATAGTAGACAATTTTGTATCAATGTTCCAAGCCATCCAACATTCAACCAATGCACCACAAAGTTTTTCACTAGTATGAGGTGCAGGAACATAAATAAACCTAACATAATAAGATTCACAAAACTAGTATAAATGATATGCAATCAAACTAGTATATATATATATATATATATATATATATATATATATATATATATATATATATATATATATATATATATATATATATATATATATATATATATATATATATATATATATATATATATATATATATATATATATATATATATATATATATATATATATATATATATATATATATATATATATATATATATATATATGCAATTAAGCTATTATTAGAAGAAATTAGATTTACCTCAAAATGTGACTCTGTAAATTCCAGTTTCCATCAATGTAATGAGCAGTGAGAGCCATATATCCCATTTTTTGATTGCTCGAGGTCCAGAGGTCAGAAGTAATGACCACTCTTCCTTTAAGATTTTCTAACAACTTCAAAGTTGATGATCTCTCCAAATTATACACTTTGAGTATCTCCTTTTTTATGGTATTTCTAAAAGGAACTTGGAATAATGGTTAGAGAGAAGCTGAGTATATTCTAAAACCAATATGATCCACTATTCAAAGCGGATATTCATGCAAAATAATTGCATGTGCAAGCTCTTTCTTAGCAATTTCTGCATCATAAATTCCAATACTCAACTCTTGTTTACCTTGCATGGTTTTAGGCGTAAGAAATGTTTGTCCTTTCTCAGATGGTTTCAAAAGCTTCTTTTTAGGACAATAATCCATATGTACTTTTAAATGTATTGTCCCATCATTTGATGAACCATTAAGCAACTTTGAGCAATAATTACACTTAGCCTTAACTTTTTCACCAACTTTGACCTTTGTAAAATGATCCCATATAATACTTTTAAGTCTGGGTTGACGATTTTCAGTTGTTTCACTATTAACCTCCATATTATCATTTGGTGTAGGAGGAGGAGCTTCAAATGATATGTTACCACTTTCAATGGGAATTGGTTGATGTGTACTTTCTTGTGAGATAGGTGGATATTGTGTTTGAGAGGTACCATCATTTTCCATGACTAATTATCCAGTTGAGTTGTCCCTAAAAACAAACTAAAATCAATGAAAAACTAAAATTAATTTAATAGCAGTATGGAAAAATTTAATAGCAGTATAGAAAAATTCAACTACAACAACTTCTATAAAATTCAACGGTATGGAAAAATTCAATAGCAATATTTATTAGAGTGACATAATGACATTTATGCTCTGCTAATAATAGCTTAATTCAAATGGTTCGGTAAGTTGTTAGCTTCCATTTGAATGTTAAATTGGTCAGCTGTAAGTGTTAGTGGGTGAATAAAATTATTTAGTTTATAAATTGAGAGCTTAGTTAGCTTACGGTTAATAGACATTGCAACTTGGTGTTAAAATCTTGTCATGAACTTTATGTAAAAGGGTTGAATTAATGTTAAATGCTGAAATGTGAATTGGCTGCTACTGCTAGCTATCAAGATGCTTAAATATTTGCAAAATGTTGATTTCAAAAATTCTATCTAAGTATGCAAGTTTATGACAATTATGGATAATTTGAATACTAAAATTGCTTCTGCTTCTATTATAGCTAATTGGAATTCTGTTAGCATGAATTAGTAATTAGGTGTGACCGTTAGTTTTTGGAAGGTTTGGAGTGTCAATTAGAAGTTAAAGGCTGGTTGGTAGATGATAAACTATTAGTAGATATAAGCTGGTTATATTAATTGAATTAAAATAATTTAATAAGTATATTAATTTAAAATTGATAAAATCAAATATTAACTTATAAGTATCAAATATTAACTTATAAGTATCAAATGTTAACTTATACGTATATTAGCAAGAAATAATAATTTAAAATTGATAAAATCAAATATTAACTAATAAGTATATTAGCAGTAAAAAAAAGTAATAAATTTAGGCAAAAATTGAGGGTAAGTATGGTGTGAATGTGTGAAGCCATACTAAGTTATATCCTATTTTTTCTAAATCCAAATAGAAGCAGTAAAACTTTTCAGCTTATAGCTATCAACAACAAAACCTAAATAATATGTGGTATCTTCATTCAAAACCAAAATCACCGAGGACTACAGTAAACATAGAAAATCAATGGAGGAGCAAAAACATAGATCCAATAAATAAATTGAAGAAAGAAAAAATCATCAGGAGAGCAAAAACATATACTTATCAAACAAAATATAGAGTTTCCAATTAATACTTAAGTACCCAAAAAACAAAAAACTGAATGAAACAATAGATCTATTGAAAGACATAAAATCGAAAGAGAATGAGAGATGGATTATCTTACGGTTGATTTGAGAAATCGAGGAGAGAAATGGTAGATTCAAGATTTTGTATTGAGAGGGAGATGAGAGATTCACGATTGTGTGTTGAGATGACTAGATGAGAGATTCACAGTCTGTGTTGAGAAGATAAGAGAAAATGAAAAGGGTTTTCTTAGATTTTTTTCATACTATTTTAATTAATTTATTTTTAGAATATATATTTGAGAAAATAAATTAATATTAAAATAAATAAAATAAGGGCATTAAAGTAAAATTGGAGTATTCGGGCGGGGGCGGGTACAGGCGGGTCTTAGTGTCTTCCCGTCCCCGCACCCGTAGTTAAAAATCGGGTTTCGCCCGCACCCGCATCCAATTAAACCGGATTTTTCCCATTAATTTTGGGGCGGATCCATGCAGACCCGAGTTTGTTTGTCATGCCTATATATATATATATATATATATATATATATATATATATATATATATATATATATATATATATATATATATATATATATATATATATATATATATATATATATATATATATATATATATATATATATATATATATATATATATATATATATGACTCATATACTTATATTTAACGACCATACTAATGACTTTTGATTATTAAGGCTTATTTTTAACCTTGGAAGTGTTTGTGTATCCTTTATCTTTTTATTTAAAAATATTTATAGAGTGTTGCGAATGATAAGTGACAATCAAGAGGTTCCAACAAATATTTCAAGAATCAGATGGACTGATTCAACCAGTCTTATCAGGAGCCATGCTAAATTTGATCCGATCATCCTTACAAAATTTCTTATGGGCCAAAACCGATAAAAAACAAGATAGAGGCGTCCTAAACAGTTTGAACCAATGAACTAAAACCGATTTTGTGAAACCACCAGGTTCAAAGAAATATATGCAATTGAACAATTTTTATTTTTTTTGAAAAATCTTAATGTCAACATCCAAACTTAAAATATCCCCCCATTCACAAAAAAGGAACCATTTTTTCTTCCACAACCACACAAACGTCTAAGTTATATCATGATGCCATAGTTTTTTTCTCTTTCAACGCACTTCATCATCATTATCATGTTGTCACTTTCAATCATAGGCACACTGTCCATTTTTCATCTGAGCTAGACACAATATTTTCATCGTCATTTACCTCAATATTGGTTACTATCGTTCAACTACATCTTTCTTGTCGTAGATAAATGTGATTTGTCTGTCATCATTCAACTCACATTCATTTGATGTTTTGTTGTATTAAGTTTGTTACGGATTTTTAAAATATTTACTTCATTAAATTGTGAACATATGATTATGCATGACTTATTTATGAAATTATCTAAAATTTATAAGAGATTCGACAATAAATCTAAATGATTGAACTAATTAAACTTTAACTCGAAGGTCTCATTAATTCAACTTTTTCAACCCAAATTTTAAAACATTGATGCCAACACTCTCAAGATGTTTGGTTTTTTTATGAATAAGGATGCAAAGTTATGATTATAGGGATGGTGGCCAAACCAGCCTACAAGGGCCTATAGTCTGACCTATTTAATTAAAATAGCAAGACTTATGGCTCATTTGAATGAGTTATAGTTTAAAAAAAAACTATTTTATAAATCCATTTGAAATTTTGTTCCTCAGGCGACAGATGTTGGCCCAAATGTCTGGGACAACATTTTCAGCTTGTTAAACTAGAATTAACAGACCATGACAACAATAATGAATCAAAGAAAAATAGTAAAGAATACACATGGATTGTTAACCCAGTTTAGTTCAGATAACACCTATTTTTAGGGGCCACTCTACTAAAAAAGGAAATCCATTCTTTAATAGAATTAGTATAAAGTGTCTTAGAGGAACAAGTTCCTTGTTCAACTCCCCTCTTCTTAATTCTACCCCTAGTGTATTTATATTTAAGACTCCCCTTAAATATAAGAATCCCCTCTCACTTTCTCTCAATCATCAAACCTAGTGATCAACAGCAATAATCAAAATGATCAATGTTGAATTTACAACTCAACTACTATGTCTTATGATATGAATGGAGTAATAATGTGGTCTACAAGAAACACAAACAAAAGATTTAAGTAAACTCTAGCACACAGATATTCAATCCTGGCGCAAACACTTAAATGCGAGGAATAAGTCTCCTTAAATAGAAATGAAATTTTAGGCTTTTCTCCTTTGGATGTTAACTGTGATCTCGTCCAAAATAGTAGCAGATATTTTTGGATTTGATTTATTCTATAAAAACCTTCAATAAAAGATATGATTTTTTTTAATTCAAATTCAAATTTAAATATCCATTTAAATTAATTTGATCTTCAAACAGATGTCAAACAAATCACGTCACACATTTCAAAAAGATAGTAACAAATCTTGTTGCACAATTGTTGTAGAAATATGTCCCAAAATAACAACAACTTTGTCCTGCAGACAAGGGCCACATGTTGGGACATCTTTTCCCACATATGTCCTTTCTTCACAAAAGCATCTTGATTACTCCATGTTGTTTTACATAATTTACCAAATCCAAAAGGAACAACAAACTCCCCCTTTGGAAAATTTTGGTAAAACAAATCTTCAAGACATAACACAATTGAGTATCATAAGCAGTCCATACTCAGAACAAACATTAACAACAGTAGAAATTTGAGGAGCATAAAAAATAGTAGCACATCAGAAGAAAAATAGTTGGTTTCTACATACAATCAATGCTTCATAATAGTCAATCATGCAATCATTCATGATCAGTTAGTCATGCATGCACACATACAATTATTAGTCAAGTCAAAATCAATAGATACTACAAACACACACATATAAACTCATACAAGAGTCAGATGCCACGCTAGATGCTCTAGCATGTGAGCACATAATATTCAGATCTCAACAAGTACTAATCACACATTCATCAACTAGTTAGTACACAATCATCAGTGTATATCAGATCAGTAGAACTCATACACCACAAAGTCAGTAGTCACCAGTCACACCACTCCACTACACGCCATTACCCCAACCCTTTTTTCCACAATTTGGCAAAGCAATTAGCACAGTCATCTCAGTCAGAGTTAGTGCACATGTTAGGTAACACAAATATCAGCGTGCTAGCAAATACACATAATAGGCCAGGAGTAGACAAACAAAACATTGTGAGAACAAATGTTAAACCAAATGCCAGAACATCTGGATTTATTGGCAAAAAAAAAAAACAAAAGTCAAATGATTACAACCTAAGTAGCATAAGACAAGGTTATTATAGAACCATAAAGATAAGCCTAAACACATAAAGGCCAAAAACTTAAAAATATATTCAGTTTGTTGACATCAGTCTTCAGAGATGGATTCTTCTTCTTCTTCACATAAGGATTCTAAGTTGTCAGTTTAGACTTGGTTGCAATTTAATAAATCATCTTGGCCAAAGTTTGAGTGATGCTTGAAATGTGATTAGTGGGTGCCCAATTGTTTGCATCTATCATGTTCAGAACATCATACTTCACACTCAATTTTCCACAATGATTTCCTTAGCAATCTTGTCCATGGAGAGTACTTTAACATATTCAACTGACTTATTTCTTCCTAGATAAACATCAACAATGGTGGGTTAAAACTTCACACACTTCCCTCTAACATAAACCATCTTATACTCTTGACTTCCTTCAACACTGCAATCAGGTGTCATGTTCAAAACAAACTCCTTAACTAGCTTTTCAAAGCAAG